AGGAAGTGTTCTTATCTGAGGAACAGCATCTGCCTTCACATTGTCCCACTTCAGAAGAAACTCTTTATTTTTTCACTCAGCCCCGCAAACCTCCTCCCCTCTGACAGCTGTCAGTCTGTTCTCTGTGTCTATGAGTCTGTTTCTATTTCGTTTGTTAGTTTATTTTGTTCATTAGACTCCACATGTAAGTGAAATCATATAGTATTTGTCTTTCTCTGACTGGCTTATTTCACTTAGCATAATACTCTCCAGGTCCATCCATGCTGTCACAAAGAGTAAGATTTCCTTTTTTGCAGCTGAGTAGTATTCCATTGTGTAAATGTACCACAGGGCTGATTTTTTTTTTTTTTTAATCCCCCAGCCTGACCCCACCCCACTTGACAAGACAGCTTCTCTGTCTAGCTCCAATATTTTGTGTGTACTCAACTAGTTATCGGACTTCAAAACATGAGGTTAAAAAGAAAAAAAAAGTTTTTGTATTTCTGTGTTTGTGATGTTTGGGGTCTTTTAAAGCATATGACCCTTCTTGGCCTGGTCTAAGAATTGTGCTATATCTGAACCCAACTACTGACCCAGCATTTCTTGAGGTGGGGCTGAGGTCTCAGTGTCTATGCTAACAAAGCTCTGTGAATGATTATAATGCACAGGTAGGGTTAATGATTACTGCTAAAAATGGGGAAGGTGTTTCTGTTTAATTATTGTTTCTCAGCATAGGAGAATAGATGATTGGTATTTTAGAAAGTGAAGTGGAGCAGAATGAGATATGAATGGAAAGGTGGTGAGACTGCAGCAGGAGAGCTGTGAGAAGCCACCAAATAAGCCAAATGAGGGCTTGGGGGAAGCAGGGGCCATGGGCTGGGTGTGGGAGGAGAAGCTGGGTTGGAGAGGGCTCCAAGCGATCACATTAGAAATGCTTGGGGAGAGCACTGAATCCTAACCACTAGATCAGCAGGTAATGGAGGGAGACCAGGCTTTGGGTGGTGAGCACACAATGCAATATATAGATGATGTATTTATAGAACTGTATACTTGAAACATATAATCTTACTAACTAATGCCACCCCAATAAACTTAATTAAAAGTGGTCAATGGCCCAGCCAGCATGGCTCAGTGGTTGAGCATCGACCTATGAACCTGGGAGTTATGGTTTGATTCCTGATTGGGGCACATGCCCGGGTTTGGGGCTCGATCCCAGTGAGGGTCTTGCAAGGGGCAGCCAATCAATGACTCTCTCATCATTGACGTTTCTATCTCTCTCTCCCTCTCCCTTCTACTCTCTGAAATCAATAGAAACATATTAAAAAAAGAAAAAGTGGTCAATGGCCGGGGGAGTGGTGGAGTGGAGATGAAGTTTCCAGTTTGTCATGGGTTAAATTGTGTCACCAAACAGATATGTTGAAGTCCTCACTCTTGGCACCTGTAAATGTGGCCTTATTTGAAAATAAGGTCTTTGCAGATGTAATCAAATGAAGATGATGTCTTTAGGGTGGGCCCTAGTACAATATGGCTGGTGTCTTTATAAGAAGAGAAACATGGGGAGGGCAGACGGAAGCAGAGACAGAAGTGATGCTGCTATAAGCCAAGGAACACCAACATTTGCTTGCTGTCATCGGAAGGTAGGAGAGAGTCAAGAAAGGATCCTTCCCTGTAGGTTTCAGAGAGAGCATGACCTTGTCAACACCCTGATTTTGAACTTCTAGCCTTCAGAACTGTGAGACAATACATCTGTGTTATTCGAAAGCATCCAGTCTATGACAGTTTGTTACAGCAGCCCCAGGAAACAAATACACAAGCTGTAAGAGCACCCATGGCGTTGGCTCGCTCCGACCTGGGCAATCAGTGAAGGGAAGCTTTTGCCATAGCCAACGCCTGAACTGCCCATGTTCCCTGTCACATGCACATTCTCCAAAGCAACGAGCGCCACAGTCAGTGTCCCTCTTTGTCATGTAGCTGTATTAATTTACTATCGGATCTACTATACAAAAAGGGCATAAACAGAAGGCATTAATTTCCTGCAGATTTCAATTGTCTACTGTATAATAAGGCAGTTTGCAAAAGTGAAGTTGAAAGGTTTTTACATTCAGTTTTCCCATATTCTCATTTGTTTGGTAGTAGTATTTTAAGCTATTATTTTTAACTTACCCATATTGAAAATTATTCAGAAAACCTACAGGAGATTTCACCTCCACAAGGAACATTTTTCAGAGAGGAAAATTTTTGCAGGATTGAATTGCCAAAGAGACAGCTGAAAAAAATGGGTCATGCATTCATCCCATTCTGGGACATAAGCTGCCAAGAGGTTGGTTCACTGCTCACTTCTGTCCCTTTCTCATAAATAAGCTGCGTTAACAAGTTACTTTAAAAAAGCATACTGATTTCCCCAGTGAATTACACAGGAAAGAATCCAGTGTTCCCTCTAGAGAACTCAAAACAGTTGTTTGTTCTCAGCGCTCAGGTGTGGTAAAATAGCTGTTGGCTAAAAATGCACATTGGATATTGGCCAGTAGGCTAGAGCTCTCTCTCCACTCCAGCCCTGATTTCTCACACTGGTGTGCATCTCATGGCTTGGCTAATAGGGACAGGGGATGGGGGAAAACTCAATTTTCAATTTCAATTTAATTACATATCTGATAAGAGATTAATATCCAAAATTTGAAAGAACATATAAAACTCAACACCAAAATAACCAAACAATCCAATTAAAAATGGGCAAAGGACCTGAATAGACACTTCTCCAAAGAGGACATACAGATGGTCAATAGACATATGAAAAGATGCTCAACATCTCTAACCATCAGAGAGATACAAATTAAAACCACAATGAGATATCGCCTCACACCTGGCTATTATCAATAAAAAACAAACAACAGGCGTCGGTGAGGGTGTGGAGAAAAGGGAACCCTCCCTCACTGTTGGTAAGAATGAAGGCTGGTGCAGCCACTGTGGAAAGTTGTATGGAGTTACCTCAAAAAACAAAAAATGGACCTGCCTTATGACCCAGTGATTCCATTTCTGGGAGTATATCTGAAGAAACCCGAAACACAAATTCAAAAGAGTATGTGCACCCCTATGTCCACTGCAGCGTTATTTACAATAGCCAGCATTTGGAAGCAGCCCGACTGTCCATCAGTAGATGAGTGGGTAAAAAAGTAGTGTTTTATTTACACAATGGAGTATTATTCGGAGGTAAAAAAGAAGGAAATTTTACCTTTTGTGACAGTATTGACAGACTGGATAAGCCAGTCAGAGAAAGACAAATACCATATGATTCCACTTATATGTGAACTCTAACGAACAAAATAAACTAACAAACCAAATAGAAACAGACTCATAGATACAGAAAACAGACTAACAGCTAGCAAAGGGGAGGAGGGTGGTGGGGCAGGGTGAAAAAGGTAAAAGGATTAACCCCCCCCACAAACTTATAGACACAGGCAACAATATGGTGATTATCAGGGGGAAAAGGGGGTAGGGGAGATAGAATAGGGTAAAGGGGGGATAAATGGTGATGGAAGGAGACTCGACTTGGGGTGGTGAACACACAATACAATGTACAGCTGATGTATTATAGAACATACACCTGAAACCTATATAATTTTATTAACCAATGTCACTGCAAAAATTCAATTTAGAAAAGAAAACAAGTCTCTTTATAAGGAAAAGTATTCCCCATGTAACTTAAATAAATAAAAACGGTAGCAATAAACTTCACTGGTAACTGTTGTTCAGCCTACCAAGCCACTTGAGTATGTACAAATAATTGAAAGTACAATGATAAAGAAACTAAGCTCAAAGACAAATTATTTGAAATGGCTAACTGATTTTGTCATTGCACAATGACGGCGTTTTCAAGTATCAAGACGGCTGCTACTTCGCGTCAACATTTACATTTACATTCAAAAGCAAAATGACACCTGATAAACATTAAATTATGCCTACTGAATTTGCAGCGTACTACATTAGCCAAACGAGTTAACAATCTTTAAAGCTTGATGAGTGGCAGGGCATCTGGCACACATTAGTTAAAGCTAGAACTTAATTTGGGTGGAATGACAGTGGGGACAAGAATGGGAGCTTATTTTGAAGCCCATTAGGAGAAGTCTGAAAAATGTACCCTTGAGTGGTATAAATGTAGATTTACCGCTCTCCTCCCTGACAAGAGTGGGTTATAATTTATGCCAGAAGGGAATGAAAACAACAAAAGACACGGAGATTTGTCTGGGAGTGAAACCTGAGCATATTTTGCCACAGGCCAAGGTCTGCATTCCCTGAGTCTAGGGGCACAAGCAGCTTTGGGGAGAAGCTGTAGCTAGACTGGCCTGTGGAAGGAGAAAAGGGGGTGGCGCAGAGCAGCATTTGGTTTGTATGTGTGGCTGTGTGTCTCAAGCCCCTTACATGGTTATGCACAGGAATCCATCTTCCAGGAAATACAACAAATAAATGAGTAGAAAGACTGGATAAGAAACTAGGGAAGCAGACAGGAAGACATCGGCTCACCATGGGTAGAAATCAAAGACCAGAATGGAAAGTAACCTTGTACATTTCCACTGCTAGGGGTTCAGCTCTTAACTGTTTGGGAGGGAATGACTGGGGAATTGAAACTTGGGAAAAATCACAGAGGAAAGTCACCTTAGTTAAGGGAGAAGTAGATAAAAGTATCTATTTGCAGCCATGATGGTATCACTGCAGAGGTCAGGCTATGCTCAGAGGGTGGCATACACATCAGCAGTGGCAGAGTCCCACGCACTCCCCACTGTGTCCCATCCTTGGGGAGACGGTGTGGAGGGAAGCAATGAGGTGGGGAGACAAAAAAGTACACGATCATCCCCAGATGACCAATTTACACCCAATTTACATGTTCTCACAACCAATAACACACATATTACTCATACCGAATAACCAGCAATGCCTTTTATATTTTAAAAAATATTTACAAGCGCTTAATTATTAACATTTAAAGCAAAATTGCATGCTACAGTTTATGAGAAGTGAGGAAATACCTGGTCGGTGATATGTTCCTGGATTTTTTCTCTAGTCACTGAAAGAGAAAGCAAAAAGAAATTTACCATTAAAGTATACAAATGAATAAGATAGAGTAATAGTTTTGCTCTGTCCTGACTTGAAACTCCAATAGCAGCCATGGGCTCTCTGAGCAAGGACTTATATCATAATGTGAACATTTACAATCACTCCCATAATTGGAAAGAAAAAAATAAAGTCAAAACCTAAATACACCACATTAGACAAAGATAAAAGAAAATGAAATGGAAATCTGGGAAGCGTGATACCAGAAGAATGTATTCAAGTCTGGCAGAGAAGTGGTGAAGAGATGAAAAAGACCAAAGAAAAATTCGAACAATATCCAGTCAGAGGCTTCCAAACAATGACAACCTGTTCAGGTATAATAGTAACTGAGCTCATGTAGCCTTGAGGACTAGAGAAGGAGATTTAAAGGGGCAGATGGCAGAAGGGCTACTTTTAAAAACTGTTCTCTTACCTGTGAAGATGATAAAGACATTATACTTTGTTGTTTACAGTACTGCTGGCGATTAATTAAAGTACAAACCAACAGTTCTATAAATGGTATCTGGGTCAGGACAGAAACAAATCAGAGTAACATATAAAGGCAACGCCGGTGTCTAAATAATCAAGACTCTAAAATAATAAACCTCAGTCACTGTGAAAATAGTCTGAAAGTGATCAATGTCATGTGTGTCTTAAACAGAAGGGATAGAATACTTAGTAATAATAAATAACCAACATACTGCCAGGAAAGAGAGGAAAGAAGTAATTTTATGGCACTGCGGTTATTACATGCTTGTGAACATCTTGGTGTGAGATGATCACTTCATTAAACATGTCCTTTTAAAATTTTAATGAAGATCATTGTGCAGTCATGTCCATTTTTAAGAGATAATCCAGAAGGATCCTGTCTGTGTACACTTCCCCCCATTGCCCCCAATGGTAACATAGGGATGATCTATACACAGTCTCACTGCCGGGATGTGACACTGACACAGTGAAGACATAGAGCATGTCCATCACCACAGGGATGCCACACATTAGCTTTCTACAGTCACATCCACTTCCCTCCCACCCCACGTTTTAAGCCAGCTGCTCCAGGCTCTGGTTTCCTAGCGAAGGGTAAGGTTCATGGGTTAAAAATCATTAGATGGACCACATTAGGGCCTGAAGTTGGCTACTGATGAGTTCTGAATCATACTAAATACTTTGCTTAGTGCTAGCAGCCCGTTTTGTATTAGTCCCCCATTGATTTTCTAAGATTTTTTAAGTATCCTAGTAACAGTGAGTATGTTAAAGGGCTTTTCCCCCTCTTACTTTATTCAACGCCTGTAGTACCCTAATTCTGTATTAGGAACACAATAAGTGCTCAAAGTTGTGGGAATTGAAGTGGAGAGTTAATTCCTAGATAACCTGTAACATCATGTCTTATACTTTTTCTGAAGATCAGCAATATTTTAATTGTCTTTTTAGTATGAATTTACCCAAATTTCCCATTTTCTTTCTTTAAACCACTATTGTCTAAAATAAAGTTTCTTAGCACACCTACAGTGAACATACAGGCTTCTGTCTAATTGCATTGCTCAGTATGTGTAATTAGGGGCCGGGGGTGGTGGCAGGTTGGGCAGCAGGGCAGGCTTAACCTGAGAATGCCAGTTACAAGCAGGAGCCTAAGACACAGACACAAACCTGGGCTGTGTCTTGGGATAAGAAGACAAGCTGGATAACAAGATTTTTTGGTAAAAGGTCAGAGGCAGTCCAGGATTTGTGGCATCTGACCAAATAAAGAAGAGGCGGGTAACTGTTGGTGATATAAGTGGCAGGAGACATATCCACATTTTGGAGGAACTTAAGTATCGGGCTGTATACAACTCAAGGACAAAGCAGAAGCCATGGGGGGCTGAGGGGGGAGGCAGAGGCTGACTGAAAAGGTAACAGGGTGGTCTTCCGGTTACTGAGGTCAGGGACTCCTTTGAGGGCCATGGGGTCTCAGGAGCCAGGTAGATTATTTCTGTGAGTTACAACTATTTAAATATGAGGAAAAGTATCTCCTCTCTTGAGCTCATAAATTAAAACACATAATTATATAATTATTTTGTGGCCCTGGTAGTTATGATTGCTGCTGCTAATTTCTTTCCTCTTGCTTATGGATAGTCATAGCCTGGTGGAGATGTAAACGGTCCCTGGCCGATGCAAGAAAAAAGGAGGGAATCCCACTTAAAACCTAAGTCATCCCCAAATTTATTCAAATCATATGTGAAAAAGAGGAATGGAACTTAGGGGATAAATTTTAACTGCATAAGCCATTGCTAATAAAAGATTAAGAAGTATGTGGTTTAGCATCTTTTAATTATTTTTTCTAGCATCTTGAATATACAATGTTTGAAATCTCTGGTTGGATCAACATTATTTTGCTCAGAGGTTTGTGGACTTTGCATACTGATTCTTTCCTGTTTCCAAGTACATTTGCTTTTAGGCTATTTTTATTCACTTTAAAGGAATTTTAATAACTTTCTGTTGACAGCATGGACAGCTGGTCTTGAGAATTAAAGAAAATTCACTTGCTGACTGAGGAAGGAAGTGACATCAATGAGCTTCTAAAGTCAGCCCAGAGGGGGAAATTGGCTTGTGAGAGAGTAGCCTTTCATTGCACTGTATTTATCGAGAGATGCCTTGAGATGCAAATTGCTGTATCAATCAAACCTATGGTGCCTACCTCCAACCAACTTAGTGCAAAGTGCAGGAACAATGCCCTGAAACACTGAGAAGAAGAAGAATGAGACGCGCAGGAACCTAGGGGCGAAGTGAATTACGGGAGCTCAGGATCCCACCTCTCCGTGCTGATACTTCATTCTCTGTCAAGCCTCAGTTTCTTTGTCTAGAAAATGAGTTTGATGTAAACTGTTGGCTGAAGTCAGTCTTTTTCTATGACAGATGGCTAGTAAGAAGGTGTGCTAATACACAGAGTGCAGACATGCTATTTTGCTAGCTTAACCCAAAGACTGCTATCGATCGTTTTTTTAACTCCCACTGAGAGCTATTTAGAAACAGATCTTTAGGTGTCACATATAAGCTACTCCCTTGATAGCTTGATATTTTTAAAATTGGTATTCAATGCTTATGACTCTACTGCAGAAAAAAGCCAGGTACCAAATCTGGACTTCAGATAATAATGACAATAGTCATAACTATGATCATTGTCATCGTAATGAATGACTTCATATTTCACCACCACCAGAAAATTTTCCTCTGGAGCTGCAGTTACCCACTTTTCAAAGACAACTGTGGTGCAAGTGCACTGAGTGTATATGTGTGTGGGTGTGTACTGTGAGCATGCATGCATGTGCATATATACACACACCTGTATGAAAGACAGGCAGAAAAGTACCCACATAAATTTTATGGCTCTGAGCTGAAAAATTAAATTCATGATTATTTATTTCTTAGCTCATTCTTGAAAGCATCTCAGGTGGCTACAGTGATGGTTTGATCACAGGCAAATAATTTGAGTTTGCATTCAGGATCAAACAGGATTTAATTCAGCTCAAAAGACAGGTGCATTAACTCTGGCTTCTTTTCCTTATCTATAAAAACATTTGGGGTACTCAACTAAAATTTCAAATTCTATGAGCTTAATATGTAATTCGAATCACTAAACAATATTGGGTAAGTAAGAAAGAATGGATGTGGTCTCAACTGCTGTCTTCAGGCCAATGGACTTCCAGATTGTCCCTGAGCCTGGGTATGCTTTGACTTTAGCAAAACTCACCCTTTGGATCTATAGTGATATATATATTTTTAAATATATTTTTATTGATATTAGAGAGAGAGAAACATCAATGAAAGAGAAATATTGATCGGCAGCCTCCTGCATGCCCCTTGCTGCGGATTGAGCCCGCAACCCTGTGCGCTGTTGGTAGGAATGCAAATTGGTGCAGCCACTATGTAAAACTATGGAGGTTTCTCAAAAAATTAAAAGTAGAACTACCATGTGATCCAGCAATTCCACTACTGGATATCTAAAGAAGACAAAGACAAAACTCAAAAAGATATATTCACCCCTATGTTCATTGCAAAATTATTTATAGTAGACAAGATATGGAAAAAAACTAAGTTTCCACCCATAAATGAATAAAAAAAAAGTAGTATACATATACAATGAAATATTATTCAGTCATAAAAAAAGAATGAAATCTTGCCATTTGTGACAACAGGGATCAATTTTGAGGGCATTCTGCTAAGTGAAGTAACAGACTGAGAGAGACAAATACTGTATGATCCCATTTGTGTGGGGACTCTAAAACAGAAACAACCCTAAACCATGCTCATAGATACAGAGGACAGATTAGAGGCAGGGGGTGGAGGAAATGAATGTGTAAAGGGGTTTAAAAGGTACCAAAAAAGGTATTCATTTATTTATAAAGAAAAACATTGTTTTTTTAATTTAAGATAATATTATATAAATAATACAAGTTCACTGTGGAAAAATACAGATGAGCAAAAAGAAAGAAAAAGTTAATCTGCAAGACTCATACAATTACAGGAATCCTTTTCCTCTATGTTCACCAGATCTTATATTTAAACAACAAATATGTAATATAGTTCTATTCTTATAAAAATTAAAGTTCTATTAAAAAGGGTATTTAAATCTTTATATAGTAGAAATGGTGATGGGTTCACTTTCAGCATTTTCTAGTCCGGACTTTGCCACTATCAAGCTGCATGGTATTTGGCAAATGTCTTCACTTCTCTGGTGCATGACAGGGTTGGGAGAATAGACTTTCTCTACATTTGTTTATAGTCGCTTAAATTCTTTGGTCCTAAAAAGGATAAGGGAGGTCAAAAATTTCCATAGAATTGAAATAAATTAAAAGGGAAGAGGTCATGTTTGGTGGGGGAACCTGGGGGGCTTCATGGAGGAGATAGCATTTGCTTTGGGTGGGATATTAACAGAAGACGACTGGAGGAAAGGTATTTTACACAAAGGGAAAAACGTCAGCAAAAGCACAGAACCAG